TGAAAGGTTTATAACATGAAGAAACATGGTTTAAGTTGATTAGTTGCATTTATTTTTTCTTGAATAGTTTCAAAATACCTAAGATCCACAAAATTAGACCACTCTCGGCTGATGGATATGACAAAACTATTCACACTCATGTCATGGATTTAATCAAACATCAATTCCACCCGTTGGATTTAATTTTTGAGGCCAAATAATGTCAATTAATCGTCCGAATAATGTGGACCATTTGATGAGCATTGTTAGTTTCTTATAGCATGCAGCATCATACACAGTAGAGTGCAGCTACACGAAAATGGGTGATGAAAATCACCTTATCAAACAAAAAAGAGTGAAAAAAACAATGCTCACTGCCTATGTGAAAGAAATACTACCAAACATATATATGGCAAAAAATGGGGTAGTAGGAATGGTTGTTTTTTTTTTGAAAAATGATCTCAAAAAACGGCCATGCTATCAAACACCATCTTATTCCACTGTTTTCAAAACTGAACTGGACCAGAAAAAATGGGAACCAGTTGTCTGACCAGTTCTGTTTCACCCCACAACCGATTTTTTACCAAAAGCCATTGATTTTGACATGGGCAGTCGAACTATTGAATTGTTGACCTTTACAACGGTTTTTGGCCTAGCTTTTTTTTTTAATTTTTTTGTCAAAATAGGTTGTTCAGTCGGATTGGACACTTGGACTGCGGGAACTGGTATCCCCAGAACAATTCCTTGTCCGGTCTGGTTTTAAAAACCTTGATTTAATATGTATTTGGTTTAGGTGCAATTTTATTTACACTGGTCTAAATGCATATGAGAGTACAAATGAAAAGAATATGAAAAGAATGCAAATTCTGGTTTATTTGTGTTTTGGGTTTTAGTTTTTTCTGCTTCATGTCTTATTTTACTTCATTTATAATGCAATCAAACAAAACAAGGTAAAATTGGAAACAGAAGTAAATCAGAATTTAAAACCAAATCATTTGTACTACCATCGTTTTGTGCAAATAAATTTACACTACAACCAAAGACAGCCTTAATATCAGAATTCAGTTTTAATTGCTAATAAAAACCAAATATATTGTTTAAAGCTCTTGCACCATAAAGAAGTTGTAATATTTCATCCATCAATCATGTCATTGAGTAAAATGACCACAACATAGTAATTAATTAATGCACCCATACTTCACTATAAAAGAACTAATTCCTTTTATTTATATATTGGAGGAGAGTCAAGTGAAGATTTTCTTGGTTAACTAACCAACCTACTACCTAATTTCTTACATCAACGTATTATCCCCTTCTAAACCACGCTTAATTCCTAGATTAATTATTTTAATTTCAGTCGAGACCTCTCTAATTAATTCACCAAGTACTGAAAGTACTGATTGGATGATTTCAGCTATTGGTTGCTTTCTTTTGACATAAGTGGAGCAATTTAGAGCCATAGCTTTCCCAACAAATAGGTCAATGCATGGTTTACATTCATGACTAAAGCTTGTACGAGCCAATAATGAATGATTAGCCACAGCCACAAGGCACATCTAAAACCACTTAAGCACAGCCGGAGACACAATTACTTTGAAGGATAGAGAAATAAATACAAACAACAAAATGTGTTTTACATTATTTTCATAAAGCTCAGCGTTCAACTCATCCTTTTATTTTTCTCGTCTACTTAGCCCACTCTAGTCGGTTTGGAAACAAATAGAAAAACCTACCAGCCATACCTCCGAAGACACACACACTAATAAGGATTCACAAACCCTATCTTACTTTCGACAAGTCTCGATAACCGTGAATAACTGACCACAACCAAACCCTCTCCAAGCGACACAAGAGAACCAACTTGTCACATAAGAATAATCTTAAAGTCTCTAATTACAAGTTAATAATTAGGGGTATCAATGGTATTTGAAAATTCAATTTCGAATTCGATATTCGACATATTCGAATCGAATTTGGATAATTTGAATATCTAATCGGTCAAATTCGGATATCCTATTCTTATCGAATAGTTAATCAGATTCGAATTCAGATATGACCTAATTCGATTCGATAAATATCTGAATTCGACCGATTATTTAATTCTTATATTATATATAAAAAATTTTATATAATTTATATATAAAAATTAAGTTATATAAATAATTTATATATTTATACACTTTATATCAATAAAATATTTATTAATTATCTAAAATAATTAATTAATCAAATCAAATATTCGAATATTTAATTGGATTTGAATTCGGATATTAATTTTCAATATCTGTCGAATATGTAGAGTGTAAAACGGTTCATATAAATTGTAAAGTTGGGTTAGTTTTGCATTGCTAAATTTACTTTTTTACCAAACAGATTTTTAGCTGTAATGGATGCAAACACCAATTCCAATAAAGCATATGCTTTTTTTTTTTATCAAAAGCTCACTTGAATGCAAATTACTTCTTTTTTATTGATGTACTTTTATATCTTGTCATCAATGTAAATATACATTGATATATCATTTATTAATGCAAAAATGTAATATTGCCAAATACAGGCAAAAGTGAACCAAAGTGCAAATTTACCCTGAACTGAAATTTACACTCCATTTGCATCGTTTCCAAATGCAGCCCTAATGTTTTGTGGATGCAAATAATTGTAGGTTTCACTAAGGCCACAGGCATGACACCAAGGACTACCATCCGATGGGGCTAACTTGATAGCTCCATGTCCTACCACAGGCAGTAATCCAAGCTCCTCCACAGTGAGGAACTGGTTCAAAATAGAGAGGATCAGCAGGTCAATAAGCTAGCCCTGAGGAACTGGTTCAAAAACAAAGAGGGTGTTTGCGAGTAATGCCATGTTGTGTGTGGGAATGTGGGGATCACTAAGGAGAATGGCAAGAGGTGGCCCTCTGTCTCGTCTCAGTGTCTCAGTGTCACAACAACAACATAGAGACTTGTCCTTCGTGTTTGTGAGGGCCAGCCACACCAACGATGACTAGACACAGCCCGGAGGCTAGTCTACTAAGAGACACGTGCACGGAAGAACAATCAATTTGTTTTAATTTCTAGCCAAGTGGCCACTATTTCTGTATGTCCGATAATCCCACATATACTATGCAGCTGATCTTAATCTCTTTTCATCTTTTTTCTAATATTCAACTTTTCTAGCTAGCATGGAGCAAAACGTACTGTTAATATTTCTGTTTTAAATAAATTAAATTTCTTTCCAATTAAAGAGACTGTAGCTAGCTTGGGTTTTAGTTTAGACTTTAGACTCTCTCTCTCTCTTTCTCTTATTGCTCGAGCAAACCTCACCAGAAAGTACAGTTGATTGTGGTTAGAATAATGCCTGAACCAAAGACGAAAGGCCAAGGTCTTTGTTCATAGTTGGATTGAGCTTGGCCCTTAATCCAATCCAATCCATCTAATTTTATAGAATACATTATATATTTTATTAAACAAGGTCAAAGGATTTTAAGTTGTTTAATAGGAAATAAGAGATTTAATATAAGAAAGATGTTACAATATTGACTATTATTAAGGAGAGAAAGGGGGAGAGAGAATTAATTATTAATTAGAATGATTTAAATATAGAAGAGTAACGATAGATTTTAATAGAAAAAAATAGGAAATAAGAGGGTTTTGTGAAGAGACATAAGAGGGTTTTTAATATTTCACATGTCATGTGTAAAGAAGGATAGAAAGAGAGACACAGCTGAAATGGCTGAAATGAATAATTTATTGCCTTCTCTTTTGGGTGAATAAGTTGTTTAAGAGTATTGCTGTGAGTTCTATAATAACTGAAGCTGAAATTAGGTTAATTGGTTTCCACATACTTGAAAATTTTATTAGAGATATTTTATCTATTAAAAAACAAAGCAATAATTCATTCAGTTCAGCAATTTCCCATGCGTGGTTGTTGTATATTAAATGAATCACATGCTCACTTCTCCTAACCTCGACCAGACCATTACCGACCCGACTGAAAGCACACCCAGTCCCTTTCAGCAGGATCAATTAGGTCTGGCAATTAAAATAAAAATAATCCCCACCCCCATTATCACCCTCAAATAGTGGAACGACAGATCAGTGGAGATAAGGACAACTAGATGGGAAACACATGATGAATTTCTTAAATACAAGACATGAAGTAGATGCCAATACTTGTAGTACTACTCTGTGCTGAATTACAGGAACCCCTTTTAGTACATCACAACGGGATGCATTTAACCCAGGGAAGTTGACATTATCCTGGAAATAGGACCCTTACTATGGAATCAGTCCACACAATATGACCCACATTCCCCTTTAGATAGAACCCTTTTACCCCAGGCCCAGAGGGGTTGAATTGAATGAGCCCAGAAGTGGAAACAAGAAGGGAAGAGGGAGAGTTACAGGAAAAGTTAAAAGTATCCAATTTCTCTGATGATAAAAGTTAAAAGAAATTGATATTCTAGTTTTCTCTTTCCCTGTAGTCTTATTCCTTCATTGATGGTAACGAGTCTGGATGAACCTCGCTCTTGTCTGGTTTCTATGCCCACTTACAATTCATATGTCCTTCCATGTTACAGTGAAAAGCAGAAAGAGAAGTCACACAAATGAGAGTAACTTCAGCTGCTACTTTTCCATGTACTGAGACTGAGAGGAAGGGGACCTTAGCTACCATTTAGTGGGATCCATGCATGTTAAACAATAAAGATTGGTTATTCCGAATTTTCCAACCATCGCCATTATCAGCAGTAGTATTAGATGACATCAAGGGTGGTAATTAACTCAAATAAAACAATTAAAGTCTTGGTCAAGTCTGAATTCTCAAACCAACATTATCAAAGATCAGGTCTTAGAGTAATTTATACATCCAATGACGCAGCATCATCTGAATCAATTCCTGTGATTTTCTTTTCTCATATCCAATGATTCAAGTGAGACCCATTCTGTTGAATGTGATGACGGGATTGGGATATATCCTCTATAAATGTTTTAATTCCTAGATATACAGGGAAAGGAATGACATGAGAGATATATAACCCATTTTAATCTGTCACCTCTGTTCTTGGAAATTGTAAGAAACTTATGTTTGTGGGAGAGAGAGAGAGAGAGGTAACAGGCCATATGGCCATCGTGGGGCAGAAGTCATGAGCCTCTTGGTCTACGGAGACAGAGAGAGGTCATAGGCCATGAGCATGCACTAAGTATTGTTGCCTCACCGTCAATCAATCAAGGCAGTGGTGGGGGCTGCTGCGATTCGACGCCTCAAGCAAGAGCAAAATTCTTCCACGTGATAGCGAGTGTCACTTTCAATTACCCCACGAGTTAAAGGTGCTCTCTCTCTCTCGTCTGGTCTTCCACGTCTCCCACCCCTTCGGACCGGCCGTCTCTTCTTCCTCACTGGACCTTCCTTTTTAAATACATATACTTTCTTCCCCATCCATCCAAACTCGAGATGGGTGTTCTTCGGGGACCTGGGTTCTTCTCAATCTCAATCCTTCTTCTTCTGGGTTACAGCAGAATCATCAGTGGAAGCACTTCGACCGACCTCTTGTACTCGTACTTCGAAGGGGGAGCTTATATTAGCTCTGAAGATTTGACCCCCAAGAACGGAAGTTCATCTCAGCGTTCAAACTTGCCGTCAACGTCGCCATCGTTGGAGGACGAGGAGTATGGGGTTCGGAGCAGTATGTATTCGGAGGAGATTCTGGAGCTGGCGAAGCGGCCGGAGACGGTGGAGTGGCTTAAGGGGTTGAGGAGGAGGATACATGAAAACCCAGAGTTGGCTTTCCAGGAGTACGAGACGAGTCGGCTGGTTCGGAGCGAGTTGGATCGATTGCAAATCAGTTACCGCTTTCCTTTCGCAGAGACCGGCATCCGAGCTTCCATTGGAACCGGCAGTCCTCCCTTCATTGCGATCAGGGCGGACATGGATGCTCTGCCTATTCAGGTTTTTTTTATTCTTCTCTGAAGTGAAAACCGAAAAACAATGTATTTCTTCCCTTAATTTTGTGTTAGAACATACTGAGGCTGGCCTGTTTTTTGCAACTATTTGCCCGAAATTTCGTTTGAAACCGGAATGACAAAAGTCATAATTCGAACTTTTTGTCGTTTTTTTCCTGTAAAATTTCTCTCTCTAGAATGATCTAGAGCAGTTTTCGTGATCAGTTAGCCGCTGGATCGGAATCCCTGAGACTTATGTTCAGACAGGGTGGGTGGAGTAGATTGTACGTTTGTCCTCGTTTTGAGTTAATATTTTTTTTCTCTGAGTTTCTGAGTACGGATACACACGATGCAAAATTCTGAATTCCAGCCCCCCTACTACTAGCCGTCTTCCCCTATAAACCACATCTGTCCGTGAATTTGGCATCAATTCACGGTCAGATGCATTCCCCTGTACTTTGGGGCTACAAAATTCTGGTCTGGGATGATTGGTCGTTCTCCCTTTTTACTGGGTAAAATAAATAACAAAATCTGCAGAAAGAAGAAGGATAGTTTAATTATTTACTTTGTTTAAAATTTATTAATTTAAAGCCTTGCAGGTCGCTAAGTTATTACTTATAAATTTATCTCATTTCTTTATTTGAAAAGATTTCATGGTTTTGGATTAAAGAATGTGAAAAGCAAGAGCTCTGGATTTGATTGTGATGAGGAACTTGTTGCAGGAAGCAGTGGAATGGGAGCATAAAAGCAAAGTCCCAGGAAAAATGCACGCTTGTGGGCACGACGCACACACAGCCATGCTTCTTGGTGCGGCCAAGATATTGAAGAGCCGTGAACACAACCTCAAGGTCTGTCTGCAGCTTTTTTCTCTGTTTTTGGACTGTCTGTGCTTGTACCCATTTGTTTGAAATTTAGTGCTTCAGTTTTTTGGGGTAGGAGTCTTGAAAATGACACTACAGAGTTGTTAGTTTTGAAGATTCCAATTGATAGATTCAGTGATTTAAGTGTTACTTTCCTTCATGATTTTCTCTCAATACTATTCAAGATTCTGTAATTTTTTTGTTTCAGTTAGTAGTTGGTTGTATGGTCAATTGAAGAACAGAGACTGATATTAAGTGTGCAAGGTTGTATTTCAGAGCGTTTTCCTAATTTTCTTCATCAGTTTGTTCACTTTTGGTGTTACTAAGAAAGCAGGTTTGGTTCCTGTATCGTGTATGACAGACAATATTTGATTAGGAAAAAGAAAAATAAAAAAGAAGAAAAGCAAGGGAATGATTTCAGAGTGGGGTTGAAAAATTGCTTTGCTGGGTTAGAAATGGCATTAGTGGGTTTTGGTTCTTATGGTGGTTTTCTGTGCTTGTCAGTGGATTCGTTGAATTTGAGCGTATGAATAGTGGATTCAATGGATTTAAATGTTTGAATAGCGAATTCCAATAATCTGCATGTCTCTAATCTGAAATTATTTGTTCTTTATGGAACTCTTTGTTCCTTCTGGTGGTTTTCCGTGCTCTGTAAAACTTTTTAACTTATGAAACTATTTGTTCCTCTCCAATATTTAATCAATTTTGCTTCATGATTGTCATCTGGCCTGTATCCCATTCCTTCTAGAGGATAGGAATGGAGTTTCATAGATTTGTAACTTCTTTTTCTTTTTTTAATGCCATGAAATTTATAGCCTCCCTTTCTTTGACTGGGAAACCAGGGGCACACTTTCAATAATACGATGTTCAATTATGAATATCTAGTTTCTCTCAAAATACGTCCATCTGTTTGTCCTACAGAAGCATATCTTGAAAATAATGGACCCTATGATGATCATCTGGTGCCTACTCTCCACTTCAGCTAGGCAGTCAATGGCCGTGTCCATCTGGGCAATGAATTGTTCCTTCTCCATCTGGAACCAAGGGGATCTACTTTCGCATATGAGATACAACCTGAAAAACTTTGTTTCTAAAACATCTAATTCTGTAATTTTTCTAACTTTGAAGAAAATCTTTATTAGCTTCAAACATGGACCGATCCTGCTGAAATGTCTGTCCGGGATGCTTTTTCTTTACGGTTGGCAAATTTCTTTGGATATATTTTCTTCCAAATACTTCTGTACACCTTTAATCTTAAATGTGGTAATATGTTTTTCCTCTGAAGATATCATTTAGTTTTTGTATGTTCCAGAGTTATTTGGTGGAACTTTCCTCCTACAAAATCACCACAACTAACACCCTCTAATCTGATTGAGTTATGTTCTCTGCTGGATTACTTGTCTGATTGTATATGCAATCTTATGTGTATATTTTTCTATCTGATTTTATATTTTCTTGATTCCTAACCTACTTGCTTTCTTGTTGCAATAGGGAACTGTGATACTTGTCTTTCAACCAGCAGAGGAAGCTGGTAATGGTGCCAAGCGGATGATGCAAGATGGAGCTCTTGAGGATGTGGAAGCCATATTTGCTATTCATGTATCACATGAGCGTCCTACTGGAACTATTGGTTCAAGGCCTGGTCCTTTGCTTGCTGGCTGTGGCTTCTTCAAAGCTGTAATAAGTGGGAGAAAAGGCCATGCTGAGAGTCCTCACCTCTCTGTTGACCCTGTTTTAGCTGCCTCAGCTGCAGTGATAAGCCTACAAAGCCTTGTGTCTCGTGAAGCAAATCCTCTGGACTCACAGGTTTCATTTTCCCCTATTCCTCTATATGGTATTCTTTTTCAATTAAGTCTTCTTGTCAAGGGAAAAATGGAACAAGTCTTCTGTGAAGGAAACTCTTAGTGGTCATATTCCTTTTAATCATTTAATATAGGTTTTAAGGGATCAGTTCTTGGTACAATAGTAAAATCTCAAGCTGACAAGCATGAGAATGCAGATTTGAGTCTGACTGCATTTTGTGCAAAAATTGCCAAAGTTAGTAGGTAATGGTCCATGCAGCTCTGGTGATACTTTTGCAAGAAATTTGATTGGAAGGCTGTATTTATGGCTGTCCATGCACAAAAGGTTTAGGGGTATAAAGTGTCACTCCTTTTTGTTTTCTTAACAACTCTTTTTTGTGAACAGAATTGCACAGTAATATACAGATCTGAGTGTACATCCCACATCCCTGATGTAGAGATCCTCAGTGTACAAGGGTTATTCTTATCTTTTGACAAACTTGATACAATATAATACTTTACATTAAAAGAATAAAAACGTTGCATAATGGCCCTTTTCCTTTCTTTCTGTGGGTTTTAAGGTTGATAGTTTTAGCTGGTGCAACACCTCATAGCTTTGCTATGCCAACTTTCATTTGGACTCAAAATGAGAATTGGATTTAAACCCTTTTGAGGGATAAAATTCTGCACTTCAAAATTTATAATGCAGAGCCTAGGGAGTATCACGGCAAATCACTTTATGGTTATAATTATACTTGTTTTATAGGAACTAATATGTTACTCATGCAAGTATGTATCAAGTACAGGGTGTTATGTGAGAAAAATTACCAAAACACTTGAAGGTTAAAATTAGAAAAAGAGAAATAAAATCATACAAAGAAGAATTAGAAAATAAAATTGGAAATTTGCAAAAAAGATAAAGAATTTGCAGCTCCATAGGCCCTAGAGATCACCTGAACATCACAATGTAATATGGGTTTAAACCACCTTCTTGCTAAGAATTAAGATGAACTCTTTTGACTGTGACTTATGAAAGTTTAGCTTACTGCTTATTTGTTGTGTTTAAAGCCTTAATATTCTTTACTGGATAATTCCTTTTTGGGTAATACAATTGATAATTCTTTAACAAAAAGAAACATATACTTTAGCAAAGATAGTAAATTTATGTTCCATGTTTTCTTTCTAAAAGACAAGGGTGAGCCTTGGCACAATGGTTGGGTTACATCCATTTCGACCCGGGTGACCAGGATTCAAATCTTGGAAACAGCCTCTGTATGTGCGGGGGTAAGTCTGCATACATCTTGTCTCTCCCCAGACCCTGCATTGGTGGGAGAATTGTGCCTGGGCTGCCCTTTTTTATTTTCTTTTTAAAGACCTTAGATTCCTGTCTTAGATATGCTCTATCTTATATAGTTATTTGTGGTAACTATAATGACAGTTGCCACATTTTCATGCTCTTACAACTATCTCATAATTTGAGATTTTTCTTCACTTTTGATCTAGATATGTTCATTATTGTTCATGGGCATTCCCAAATTTATAATAGCCTTTCTCCTGTTGCAGGTAGTATCAGTGGCTTCATTTAATGGAGGGGATGATCTTGACCTGATTCCGCAATCGGTTACCCTTGCTGGTACATTCAGGGCCTTCTCTAATGCAAGCTTCTATAGGCTCCTGCAAAGAATAGAGGAGGTCTGTGATGGAATAGTTCTAACTTTGAAATAGAAGCAACTGCTTTGCGCATTTGTCACATGACCCACCCTCATAACCCCTGTATCTGTTTAAACAGGTTATTGTAGAACAGGCTAGCGTCTACAGATGTTCGGCCACTGTTGATTTCTTTGAGAAGAAGACGCAGATATACCCTCCAACAGTGAATGATGAGTACATGTATGAGCATGTAAGGAAAGTGGCCATTGATTTGGTGGGTGCCAAGAATTTCATTGTGGTGCCACCAATGATGGGAGCAGAGGACTTCTCCTTCTACTCAGAGATGATCCCAGCAGCCTTCTTTTATATTGGTGTGAGGAATGAGACATTGGGTTCAACACACTCCGGCCACTCTCCCTATTTCATGATTGATGAAGAGGTTCTCCCCATAGGAGCTGCAGCTCATGCTGCAATTGCTGAAAGATATCTCAATGAGCACGGTTGAGAGTGAGAGCTGCTCAATACTGCTGTTGGATGGACATACTCTGGATATCAAAGGACTACAGAAACATTCTAAAATGTATTATCCTACAGTATTGTTCTGAAGCTTGTCCTCTGCAATTTGTAACTGGGGGTGTGTGAGCAAAAAGTTTTCCCCTGTAATGGTGCTGAGGATAAGTGGAAGGCCACCTACTTGTTAAAGAATCCTCTGCCCTGAAAGAAGTTATTGGAAGTTCGCATTTGTGCTGTTGAGAACACCAATCAATTCAGATTGGACTGATTCTTCTGTACTTGTTAAGCTTGCTAATTTAATTCTTACTAAAAGGCCTAGGAAAGAAACTCAGAACACTGGAGTCCAGATCTGCTCCTCACAGAGTGCGCCTCACAGCCTGTCCTGGCAGCACATTGGGAACATATCCCATACTTAAATTTATTATTCATGGGGAGATGTTCACAAAACACGGTGGAATGTGACTGTGAGGTTGATGTGAGGCATTCTCTGTGAGGAGCAGATCCCAATTCAGAACCCGGGTTGCCATGAATGGTGGCAAATCTAATTGGATTTGCACCTGGCACGGTATCATATAGGCATGGTTTGTTTGCAATGCAATTTCATTTGCACTACAAAAGTACGATAATATGAATGATTTATGTAAATTTTGTTTTACTTTTTTTTTTTTTTTTTACTTCAGTGTAGATGAAGTAAAATAAAACCCAAATAGAAATGAAAATCAAAACAAAAGTGAACCAAAATTTGCATTCTTCAAGACTTAATTTGGGTTAATTACTTATACCCTGAATTTTCAAAAACAACTTACCTTAGTGACATTTACGTTAACTCCAACTACTAAAATGACTGAATTGTCCTTAACTGTTGATTAAAATTTCAAAACATGCCATTTTTTCCCTCTCCCATTACAATAACAGAAGAAGTAAAACTTCGCTGCCATTAGGGAGCTTCAAACTGCAGGATGACGACATAAAACCCCAAATTCTTCCAAGGTTCCAAGTCATCACCTTCCAAATTTGCATTTTTGGTGTGTGACAATGAAAAGGTTATCTTCAAAAAATTGACAAAAAATGGCAGGAATATTTCAACCTTAAAAATTTTCCAACCCACGAACCAAATTGAAAGTTGGCGGATATGCTGATTACTTCCAAGATTCAAATTAAAAGTTGACCTCCAAGTATGAAGTGTCAACTACACAAACTTTGGCCTTCGGCATCATCTTTAAAATTGGGCATACATTAAAAGATTGAACACTCAACCGATGCTGAACTTGTTAGAGCTCATTCAATTCTTGAGTTCAATAGTGGCTTGAGATGAATCGTTCAAGCCCAACTGTTGACTTGGACTCTACCTGACATCTTGGCTATCAAAATAGTTTTAGAAACCAACGTGAGACGCCCTTGGGAGAGGGAGTGTATTGAGGCGGTAAAAAGCCATTGATTACTACTGTATACAAGCTCTTAGATTTGGAAAAACAGAGATTGATGGAGACTTTGGTTTCTAGATGCTTAACCATGAAGGAAAGCCTATCTTGGGTGGTTGCAAAGCTCTATATATAAAGCCACACACACTCCCACTTCCTCCATCGAGCAAGAGACAACCAACTCCCAAGGATCAAGGAAGCTAAAGAAGTGATTTCGATGCTCTCAGATGTCTCAAACAAGCTATGAACGCTGCATTTTCTTCGATTGCTCAAGGCTAGTCTATGCTTATTTCAATTTGTTTTAGAGTATAGATTGATCCTTTCATACTTCTAATGTGTTTAGAAGTTTATATGAAGGCTTTCAATTAGTATCAAAGCCATTCTATGCTCTAAAACAACCGAAATTGCTATTTTCTTCTTCTTTTTTTTTATTTTTTTTTATTTTTTTTTATTTCAAGATCTGTTACTAATTTTCGGCCATTTTTTGCCGAAAAATTGTCCTTGGATGCTCAGCAGTGACAGAGGGACCGTTTGCCATCAGCTAGCCACCCTTTGAGCGCCCCATCATGCTATTGTGTTCATTCCATTGAACGAACACTAAAACACCCAAAACGGGCGAAGAAGACGACCCCTTGAGGGTCGAATCCATCTAGATACTCAACCTAACCCAACCCATTTAACTTGAAATGTTTGGCTCCCCTAACCTAGTTTGGTTTAGTCTGATCTAATCCAAACCAATTTGAGCCAATTCGGTCCAAGTGATCTGATTTTGTTTGGTTATGTTTGGTTTAATTCAATTTGCATTTGTGTGGCTCGGATCATTTCGAGTTGGTTTGGATCCATCTGATTCAAACTAACTGATTATGATAGGGCCACCTTTGTGGGGCCGATTCATGGGGTTTTTCAACCCCATTTGAGCTGAAAATTTGTGGGCCCATAATAGACCTTATGAGCCTTTTATATATATAAATTTTCAGAGGAAAAAATCCTTTTGGATGTGGTGATATTAAACCGATTCAATGACTGATTCATCAATTCATTATCATATTGACAACTTTAGGAAGCTGGTTTAGGGGGTTCCCAACCTCAGATCTGGCTGAAATTTGGAGGGTTCAAAAAGGACCCTATTTTCCACCTGTGTAAAAAATTTCATTCTAAAATAACTTTTTGTATAAACATAATTTAATTTGGTTTAATGATTATTCTACTAAGCTTTTGTAGTTTTATCACCTAAATATTTATCAGTTTTGTAATACTTACTATTTACTTTCTGGAAAATCATGTGATAATGATTCTTGTACATGTATTAGACTTATATTGCTTTTGTTTGGGGTATTATTGTGAGGTTTTCTTCCATAAATAAGTCATATATTATGCATCTAACCATGATGGATAGCAGATTAATCCAATAGAAGGGTGGTGCTTTGAATGGTTGGAGTGGGATGGGAAGACTAAGAGGTTTTGCTTGGAAAACCCTTAACCCAATGGTGATGGGTGTACCTAGATAGCAAGATCACTTAATTAGTCTGGACCATAGAGATCATTTGTAAGATTGTTGCCCAACCTAATAGAAGAACAATAATATTACATCCATCTTGGATCAGGACCTAATCGGGATTATATTATATAATAGTATTGATGAGATCTAATTGCTAGTTACCCCATTTAAGTTAGATTATTGATACGTATATGTATTTTAAATATGGAATGGCATATTTTTGCACTTATTATGGTACACACTTTAACAAATGGAAGGATCAAATCATGATTGTTCTAGAGTGCATAGATCTAGACCTCGCAATTAGGGATGAGAAACCATTGAAGTTACTAATACTAGTACTAGTAAATCGAAAGCACATTATGAAAAGTGAGAGCGTTCAAATTGTATGAATCTAATGATTACGAGGAGCACAATTTCCATTATAATTTGTTGTGCAATTTTTGAAAAGGAAAGTGCAATGGATTATTTAAGGTAATAGAAGAACATTTTGTTGGATCCACCAAAATAATAGCAAGTACCCTTGTGATCAAAATGATGACTATAAAGTACAATGGTTGTGGGGTACGTGAATACATCATGAAAATGAGTGACATGAAAAATTAGTTGAAAGGAATGGATATGGAAGGGATTACAAGGCACATTACTTCTTCTGTAAAAATAAGGGACATGCATGTAAAGAAGGACTGCTCCAAATATGTGGTATGGCTCAACAAGTAAGGTACAGATTTTGCAATTATGATTTTTGAATTCTATTTGGATAGCAAAGCACTTGATATGTGGTGGGTGGATACAGGCACTAGAATTCATGATGCAATTTCTCTATAAGGCTGTTTAAAAGGCCAATGGTTACATAAGGGATAATATACCATAGTAATTGGTAACGAAATAGAGGCAGATGTTGAAGTTATAGGGACATATCGTTTAATTTTAGATACTAACTTTCATTTAGATTTAGTAGATACTCTTTATGTATCTATGTTTAAAAGGAATCTCATTTTAGTTCTTACACTTAATTCCTCTGATTTTTTAATTTAAGTTTAAGAGCAAAAGTTTTACTCTATATATTCTATGGTTCTGTTAAAGTTGGATGTGGTGTGTTATGGGATAATATTTATAAGATTAATTTGCACCCTGATTTAGCTTATAGCCTATATAATATGCAACAAAAAAGCTTATACAATATGCATGAGAACTATATGGTCAAAAATAAAAGAAATTGAGTGAATGAAAATTCATATATTCTGTGGCATAAAAGATTATGTTACATTTTTAAGAAAGAATGGAATGTCTCATAAAAGATGGAGTTCATAGTTTACTGGATTATTCTAAATTAGCTTTGATATGTGTGTTGATTACATAAAGGGAAAATTTACCAAAACCACTAAAAAGAGTGACACATATGATGTATAAAGTTGTTAGAAATAATACACAAAAAATTTATGCATGGTGCATTATCTACTCCTACTATGGGGAGGAGATAGATACTTCATTACTTTTATAGATGATTTCTTCAAATACATTTACATATACTTGATTCATAAGAAATCAAAGACACTAAATGCATTTAAGATCTTTAAGGTAGCATTTGAATTTCATCTCAATAATAAGATCAAAAACATGCAATTTGATATAGGAGTGAAAATTATGGAAGTGTCTTTGCCTTATTCTTATAAGAACATGTGATTGTTGGTAATGACCCCATGCCAAATACACCTGAGTAGAATGATATAGTAGAGCGACAAAATTGTATTCTCATGGATATGATAAGAAGTATGTTGTGTAATTGAAGTTTATTTTAGAATTTATGGGGTGAAACCTTAAAGACAATTGTACATATCGTAAATGGAGTTAAACCAATCCCTAATACTCCATATGAATCATGGACTGGCAAGAATCCCAAATTAGGATATTTGTGAGTTTGGGGTTATCCATCTAAGGTCATAATCCACAATCTGATAAATTCGACCCCAAAATAGATAATGGTTATTTTATTAGTTACCCTAAATGATCTAAGAATTATAAATACTTTTACTTAACCTTAAATACCAGAACTGTGAAATCTAAGCAAGCCAAACTTCTATAATTTAGGAATTCTAGTGGGAGTTTTGGACCTAAACAAATTATCTTTTAAGAAAATTTGGTGACCAAACTTGTACCAGACATGTAATATAGAGTTGTTCCAATTGAAACTTTTGAGACTAATACACAATCTGTCCAGAATAATGATTACTGAATATACAACACTAATAGAACAAATCTCACTAAGAAGACTTCAAAAAGTATGGAGATCAACAATATCATATTACTACAAAGTCTATTTGAATGATTGTGAATAGGAGTTCAATTTTGAAAAATT